TGATTAATTAACACAGATTAGTTTTAAATAGTATTAAAGGTTTAAATCAGCATTTATTTTGATTGGCTAACTAGTTTGGAAGGTTTTGCCAATTTCGCCAGTTTCGTCAACTTTGTCTTAGTTTCGGATTATCGGAAAGTTTCGGATTTTAGTTCTTGAAAGCCGAACCGTTTCGACCTTAAGATTTTAGTTTTGCCCACACCTTTAATTGTCGCGTAATGAAGTTGTGCATCAGGAAAATCCTCACCATAATTTGCAGCTTCCATAAAAAGTTCAACGGCTATCGCATCTTTTTCTTTTTAGGAACAGGTAAAGTCAGACCAACCTTCTGAAATGTAATAGGTTTTGCTTTTGGATTATCCAAGTTGGCATAAGCATCGAAACATTTGTACAATATCAGCTTTTTCATATTGTTCTTTAGATGCCTTTTCAATTGACAAATAATTGAATGAACTCCAAACAATCATTTCTGTACCAGACATTTTTCGTACATTCTTATAGACGTGCTGAAGATCTATCAACCTTTTTGAGAACATGGGTCGAAAACCTGGATTCGGATCATCATGAACGAGATTTTGATATTTATCCAGAATATTAGGGTTAGTAAAAGGTTCCCGATACCCATCTAGTATATTTTTTATATTTTTGAAAATTTCCATAAAGTCATTAAATGCTTCGTATGATATCTTACATTCCGCAATTTCTAAAAGAAGAATACCAAAAACTGTAGACTTCACATTTGATGTCATATTTTTGTTTCTCGTCCTCTCTCTCCATATCACGTAATCTTCGAAATGTAGAATATTGGAAAAGTCCTATGACGCAATGGAATATGAACACTTGAAACTAAGGTTGCAAGGAAAAACCTAATCTCATACTAGCAAAAGTCTAAAACTTTCAGTTTTGTTGATTCTCGATAGGTTTCGACGGGTTTTGACAGGCTCTGATTTCGACGCCCGTCGAAATTGCTCAGCAAATATTACTTTAAAACTCCAACCGCACGTTACCCTTTTTTACCTGGTTTGTACTGGAAGAAAATAAAGAAAGAAATAAAAAAGATAGAAATTCAAATTACGAAACAAACAAATATACTTTATTTGTCTTTCCTTACTTACTATTTGCATCTAATAAAATAAGCGTTAATAAGGTTCATCACTAAACATCTTTTATTAGCTTTGTGTCGTTTGAAATGGGAAGAAGCTTGAAATCTTTTAAAACGTGTATTATAGTGGGCAAATTCGACTGTGATATAAAGTAAAATACAGTAGGAAAAAAAGATGACGTGTTAATAGAATACGAACATTCTTTTATTTTATTTTTTTTGAAAAAAAGCATGTCTTGACCTATTATCGTTCCTTAGAATGTATTCATAATATAGAAAACGTTCAAATTTAATGACGTAAAACTTAAAATATAATTTTAAAGAAAAAAATTTTTTTTTTTATTTTTTTTTGGTATTAGTATTACTCAAACCCATTATTCGAGATTAGAATTGTCAAGTGCTTATAGAAACCTCCAAAATAATTTCGTCATACCCTTTTCTATGTTTTTAATATAGTTTCGACAGTTTCGGCTTTCGTCGTATCGAAAGGG